CCTCACTGGGAATGAACACCCTGACCATGAACACCCTGAACATCCCTAACTGGGAATGAACACCCTGACCATGAACACCCTGAACATCCCTAAGTGGGGAGAAACACCCTGCCCATCCCTCACTGGGAATGAACACCCTGCCCATGCCCCCCCCCTGCCCACCCCTCACCCCTGCAGGACTCACCTGCCCGGCCTCCCGTGGTCTCTTCATGAACCTGGTGATGTTCATGCTGCCCAGCACCCTCCTCTTGGCGGGCACTGGGGTGCTCTGTGGGACGGCCGCGCCCGGCGCGGGGCCACCCTCCTCCTTCCCGGCGGGAATCCCAGAGGAAGAGGAGGAGGAGGAGGGCACCTGGGTGACGTAGTTCCACTGGCAGGGCACGGGCAGCTGCTCCTGCTGGAAGCTCCTGAGCACGTCCCCGTGCACGTACCAGCACATCCTGTGCTCGGGCCTCTTCTCGTACACGGAGCTCTCTGAGATGATCCTCTTTAGCCTGGCCTTGGAGGGGACCCCAATGTCCTCCCCCCCCGAGGGGGGCTGGGGCCGGGGGGGGCTCCCCTGGGTGCCCTCGGTCACGCCATGGAACAGTCCCTGCCGGCAGCACTCCTGGAATTCCTGGATGATCACCTTGCTCCCGTGGACGTTGCCGTGCAGCAGCGGCAGGAGGTGGCCCAGGACTGAGGGAGGAGAAAGGATGGACAGAGGTGTGGGGGGGGAATCACTGGTTAAAAGCTCAGGGAAAGCCTGACTGGGGTAAAAAAACCCATTGGAATGGTTTCCAGAGGGGAAAGAAATAGGTTTGGGATGAATTTTGAGGATGGGATTGTCCAGAGGAGATGTGGCTGCTCAAGGCCAGGCTGGAGAAGGGAAGGATCCAGGGAGACCTTGGAGCCTCTTCCAGGGCCTAAAGGGGCTCCAGGAGAGCTGGAGAGGGATTTGGGACAAGGGATGGAGGGACAAGACACAGGGAATGGCTTCCCACTGCCAGAGGGCAGGGATAGATGGGATATTGGGCAGGAATTCCTCCCTGGAGGGTGAGGAGTCCCTGGCACAGGTTGCTCAGAGAAGCTGGGGCTGCCCCATCCCTGGAAGTGTCCAAGGCCAGGTTGGAGCACCCTGGGCTAGTGGGAGGTGTCCCTGCCCATGGCAGGGAGTGGGAATGGATGATCTAAAGGTCCCTTCCAACCCAAACCATTCTGGAATTCCATGATCGTAACAAGAGCTAAATTTGATGTAGGAAAATTCCCCCCCCGAGATGGAACCTTCACCCCTCTTGAGCCTTTCTGTGAGTTATTCCCACCCTGGTGTTCCTCAGGTGCAGGAGAAGCTCAGGACTGAAACCCAACACCCAAACCAAACCCTCTCCCTCCAATCAATCAACAGGGTCCTGGGCTCAAGCCCATCCTAAATCTGAGCCTGCTCAAGCCCATCCTAAATCTGAGCCAGCTCAAGCCTTGTTGGCTCTATTGCCCATCCTAAATCTGAGCCTGTTCAAGTCTTGTTGGTTTTATTTCCTGGATTGTCCAGAGCACGAGTTTTTGGAGAGCATAACTGAGGCCACATCAGCTGCACTGCCAGAAAACTCCTTTCCAAGATCTCCCAGAGATTTCTTGGACTTCAGACTCGTCAAGAACAGGCCCTTCTGAGTGTAACACTCCATAAACCCCCTGCTCTCCCCAGAGCAGAGCACAGCAGTGTGTAAAAGCACAACCCTGAGCCCTTCAGGTCTTACTTTGCTGATCTCTGGCTCTTTTTTTGCTACATTTCTGGATCTGCTGCTCTTCCTCTGCCACAGGGGGGTCCAGGACACAGGCTGTGAACTGCTGGAGAACCTTGAGGTCGGGGTTAGTGCTGCTGTCCTGCTCTGCCCCTTCCCACACACAGCCTATTTTCACAGGCTGGAGGACGTGGAACCTCTTCCCCTTGGCAATGAGCTCATCCCACTCCTTGGCCTTCAGCTTCTGACGGACCTTCTGGTTCTCTGGGTCACACTCCTGAAGCCAGGGGAGAGAAAAGAGCCATCACACCCACACTGCAGGGAACAACAGGAGCTTTGGGTCGTGTCCCCTGAGCCCCACAAAGCTGCTCCTGACCCGTGCAGGCCCCAGGGAGTCCCAGCCCCTCCCTGCCAAATATTGACATTTAAACAGGGGTTGGAAACAGGGCAGGAAAGCCAAGGGCACCCAGAGTTCACTTACTTCTGTCACACCTTCATCTTCAGATAGGTACCCATGGGGTACAAAAAACCCGTCGTCCTCATCTTCATCCTCTCCCTCCTCTTCGTCATCCTGAAAATAAATCCATTAGGAATTGTACCCACGAGTTCCCAAATGGGTTTTTCCCCCTCTCCCAGCTGGCTCCCAAACCTACTTTTTTTTTTTCCCCTCACCTCTTCACTGTGGGAGAGACTTTCTCCAGGCTCCTCCTCTTCCCATTCCTCATCGCTGTCCACCTCATAATCCAGCAGTTTCTGCAGGAAATTCCAACATGTCCCCGTGAATAACTCAAGGGCACGGCACCAAACCCCATCCAGGGTCTCCAAACCCTCAGGAACGGCGGAGAAGAGCACAAAGAACCCAAGCAGGTGCTTACAGTGTCCTTGGCCCAGGGATTCCGGGCCCGGATGAGGGTGGTGCTCTTGTTCCAGGTGCCCCAGTAGGCAGGCCGGTGGTTCTCGCTGAACTGCAGCAGCTTCATCCTCCCAAACTTCTCCCTCTCGGGAACACCGTCCCTCTGGCAGTTGTCCACCACCACCACGTCGCTGGGGACACGGGGATGGAGGAGAGGTGGCCCCAGTGGCCCCACAGAACACCACTCTCCTGCTCCCTGAGAGCGCTCAGCTCGCACGATCCCACCCAGAGTTTATCCCGTGGCTTTAAGGTCCCTTCCAAGCTGAACCACTCCGGGATCCACAGTCTCTCCCAGTTCTCCTGCAGGAATTCCAGCCAACCCACTTCCCCCTTATCACCTGGATAAACCATCCCAGAAGGGCCAGTGCTGAGGGCACGAGATTTCCCACAGGGAAGGATTTTCCTCAGTTTTATGCCCAAAATGTCACCTACTCCTTACCTCCATTTTCACTTCATAAGGATCATCCTGTCCCCTACAGATTAACTCAGATTTTACCACCAAAATATTCAGGATTCCCTGGATTTTACCCCCCAAAAAACTCTCCCTGGTTACTTCTATCTTATTCCCAAAAATGTTCATTCTGTCTCCTATAGGTTACCTCAGAGTTTACCCTCAAAATATTCATGATTCCCTAGATTTTACCCCCAAAAAACTCTCCATGGTTACCTCTGTCTTATCCCAAAAATGTTCATTCTTCCCCCTAAAAATTAACTCAGATTTTACCCCCAAAATATTCACTTTCCCCCACAGAATAACTCAGAGTTTACCCCCAAAATATTCATGATTCCCTAGATTTCACCACCAAAAAAACCCTCCCTGGTTACCTCTGCCTTATCCCTAAAAATGTTCATTCTGTCCCCTATATGTTACCTCAGATTTTACCCCCAAAATATTCACTTTCTCCCACAGAATAACTCAGAGTTTACCCCCAAAATATTCGTGATTCCCTAGATTTTATCCCCAGAAAAACCCTCTCTGATTACTTCTATCTTATCCCAAAAATGTTCATTCTGTCCCCTACAGATTAGCTCAGATTTCATCCTCAAAATATTCAGGATTCCCTACCTTTCACCCCCCAAAAAACCCCTCCCTGGTTACCTCTGCCTTACCCCCAAAAAAGTTCATTCTGTCCCCTATAAGTTACCTCAGATTTTCTCTCCAAAATATTCACTTTCCCCCACAGAATAACTCAGATTTTACCCCCAAAAATCCCCTCCCTTGTTACCTCTATCTTACCCCCGAAAATGTTCATTCTGTCCTCTACAAATTAGCTCAGATTTTACCCCCAAAATATTCCCTTTCCCCCACAGATTAGCTCAAGTTTTCCCTTCTCTGAGTTCCCAGACTTTCCCTCAGCAAGGCTTATTTTTCCTCTCTAAATGACCCCAAAAAAACCCCCAAAAAAGCAGGTTTTGTTTCACCTAAATCAACTCATCTTAACATGTCACCTTTTTTACATGTCAAAACCATCCCAATTTACCTCAGCCTTTCCCTCCAGGATGCTCATCCCGACCCCTCCATATGGAATAACACAAATCCACGCCCTCAGGGGAAAAAAGTCCTCACAGAAAATGAAGATTTCCAAGGAAAACTCCACCTCTCCGACATTAATTCCCACCTCCAACCCATCCTGGAATAAAAAGGGAAGGAAAACTTCCCAAAACCCACCTGTTCACTGTGTCGTTGCTGTTCCTGACCCAGGTGGGGCCAGATTTTCGTGGTTTCCGACATTTTAGGTCCCTCAGGAAAGAAACTTCCCAGTTTTGGGCGGGAAGGAGCTTATCCAGCTGCTCCAAGGAGTCGGGATCCGGAGGGACGCGGCTGAGGGGAGCTAAAACCATGTTCTCCTTGATCTCAAAGGGAGCAAACTTCCCACAGGAGCCAGCGAGGATCTGGAATGTCAAGGGAGGAATGTCAAGGGTTGGAAGTGCAGTTCCCACCTGGGGGAGATGGAGGTTAAGTGGGGATTTAGGTTAAGCCCTTCCTAAGATTCCAATTCCAAGGCAATTGAGGCCTTTACGGAGAATTGGGAGTCTCTCCATGGAGAAGACACAGCTGAGGTTTTTATTAAACCGACTCCAAACTCCTCCTGGAGTCTCTGCTCTGGCCTTTTCCTTAAAATTCTTTGCACTCTCAAAAGAGGAAATTAAAGTTAACTCCAAACTTCTCCTGGAGTCTCTGCTCTGGCCTTTTCCATAAAATCCTTTATACTCTAAAATGAGGAAATTAAAGTTAACCCCTAACTTTTCCTGGAGTCTCTGCTCTGGCCTTATGCCTAAAATCCTTTACACTCTGAAACAAGGAAATTAAAGGTAACCCCAAAACTTTTCCTGGAGTCCCTGCTCCAGCCTTTTCCTTAAAATCCTTTGCACTTTCAAAAGAGGAAATTAAAGTTAACTCCAAACTTCTCCTGGAGTCTCTGCTCTGGCCTTTTTCCTAAAATCCTTAACATTCTAAAATGAGGAAATTAAGGAAAATTAACTCCAAACTTCTCCTGAAGTGTCTGCTCTGGCCGTTTCCTTAAAATTCTTTGCACTCTCAAAAGAGGAAATTAAAGTTAACCCCAAACTCTTCCTGGAGTCTCTGCTCTGGCCTTATTCCTAAAATCCTTTACACCCTGAAACAAGGAAATTAAGGAAAGTTAACTCCAAACTCTTCCTGCAGTCTCTGCTCTGGCCTTTTTCCTTAAAATCCTTTACACTCTGAAACAAGGAAATTAAAGTTAACCCCAAACTTCTCCTGGAGTCTCTGCTCTGGCCTTATTCCTAAAATCCTTTACACTATGAAATGAGGAAATGAAGGAAAATGAATGTTTTGTGCACCTGAGAAGCTCTGAGATGAGAAGGAAATCGGGGTGTTTGTCAGAAACAACTAAAGAGAGATCAAACACCCCCCCAGGAACAGCAAATCCCTCACCTTGGGGGCTTGTGGAGTCTTTGGTTTCTGGAAGAACCTCGTGATTTCTGCTTTCTGGGCATTAATCCGCTGAAATCAGAACCAAAAATGCAAATTAGAGACACTAAGAGAGGACAGAGGTTTCTAATTCAAGGTGAGCTTTGATTTGTTTTTCTCAAATCCTTTGCTTGATTTTTCTCAAACCCTTTGCTTGATTTTTCTCAAACCCTTTGCTTGATTTTTCTCAAATTCTTTATTTTTCTCAAATCCTTTCGTTTTCTCAAATTCTTTGACTCATTTTTCTCAAATTCCTTCTTTTTCTCGAATTCTTATTTAACGTAATTAATTTATTCCAATTAATTTAATTTTATTTAAATTCATTTAATTCATTTTTCTCAAATTCTTTGGGTGGTTTTTTTTTTTCCTCAGGGGCTCAGAGGGAAAACACACAGAGAGAAAAGACTTGGAAAAAACCAACAGGGATGGAAGGAACAGGCAAAAAAATCCAGGTGGAGGAGCACCAGCAGGTCAGAGGGGACAGGCTGCATCCCACAGTGAGCTGCTCCATATCCCAACTCCACCTGGAAAAGCCCAGGATCCCACTGGGAAGCTGCCAGGGATCCCCCCCCCCTCATTTCACCACAGAAAAAGAACTCAAGGACAAGCCAGAGGACATATATTTACCTTTTCCTCCTCTTTCAACCGTTTCTCCTCTTCTTTCTTCCTCTTCTCCTCGAGTTTTGCCCTTGAATATAAAGTTAAATTTGAACTGGCACGAGGCATGAAGGGTTTGTTTGCCCCACACCCCGTCCTGCCAAGCGAGGGGAAGATGATCCACCACTCCAGGCAAGGCCTGTGCTCAGCCAAGACTTCCTTCATTCCTCCTGGAGCAAATATTGACCCATTTTAGCCCCGGAGTGAACCCCAGCACTGGCAAATTCGAGGGACAAAGCAGCTCCCTGGACAAACAGGGCACTGAGGGGACAGTCCAGGCCGAGCAGATCATGAGGGGAAGAAGCCCCACAGCTCATTTTGGGAGCCATTTCCCAGCTCAGCCTGGCCAGGATGGAGCCCTTCCAACATTCCCAATCCATCCCATGGCACTGCCGAGGGACAAAGCAGCTTCCTGGACAAACAGGGAAAAGTCCAGGCTGGGCAGGTCATGAGGGGAAGAAGCCCCACAGCTCATTTTGGGAGCCAGCTCCCGGCTCAGCCTGGGAGCAGAAGGCCAGGACAGAGCCCTTCCAGCATTCCCAACCCATCCCATGGCACTGCCAAGGGACAAAGCAGCTCCCTGGACAAACAGGGAAAAGTCCAGGCCGGGCAGGTCATGAGGGGAAGAATCCCCACAGCTCATTTTGGGAGCCATTTCCCAGCTCAGAAGGTTCTGCTGGGCCGGGATGGAGCCCTTCCAACATTCCCAACCCATCCCATGGCACTGCCGAGGGACAGCAGCTCCCTGAACAAACAGGGCACTGAGGGGACAGTCCAGGCCGGGCAGGTCATGAGGGGAAGAAGCCCCACAGCTCGTTTTGGGAGCCATTTCCCAGCTCAGAAGGTTCTGCTGGGCCGGGATGGAGCCCTTCCAGCATTCCCAGCCCATCCCATGGCACTGCCCGGCCTCTGGAAGAGCCTGGCACGGGAATGTGGGGATGGAAATCCCCCCCTGAGCACTCACTCCAACGCTTCCTGCCTCTCCTTGCGCTTCTCCTCCTTCACCCTCAGCTTCTCCGCTTTCTCCTTCTCCTCTTTTTCTTTCTTTTCCCTCCTTTCCTTCTCCTTCAGCTCTTTCTCCTCCTCTTTCCTCTTCTTTGCCTCCTCCTTGGCTCGTTCTTTTGCAGCTTTTGCCTCTTCCTTCAGCCTCCCCTTCTCCTCCCTCTCTGCCTGGAGCTTCTGGAGCTTGTCTGCTCTCTCCTGATCCTGGGGAAAAAAAGCAAGATATTCAGGGAATTGTGGGTTTTTGGGCACAGAAACCTTCAAAAAACCATAATTAAAGGATCAAAACCTTCACTAAAATCAGCATTTCATCCCAGAGTAAATGGTACCCACTCAATGCTTGACCTGCAGCACCACCAATATCCCAAACTGGGATCATTCCCAGTTATTCCAGGTGGGATCACAACCACATCTGCCTGTTGTTTCAGGCACAACCCAGCTGAGCTTCCTTGTCCTGCCTCCCTGAAGGCTTTAATTATTCTGTTTCTCTAATAAAAAGAGGTCTTTCCATTTTTTTTTCCCCCCTGAGCATCCTTTGCATTGAGTCACCTTCATTATGGAAAATGAGATGGGAATTAAGAAATAATTACTGGGTTTTAATTTAACAGGTGATGATGTCAGGCTGTTTCCAAAATGGTTTTTTCCTTGGAATTCCCTCACGTGCTGAGCTTTGGTGTCATCACCAAATCCGAGAAAAATAAATCAAAGAATTTGAGAAAAATCAAAGAATTTGAAAAAAATCAAAGAATTCGAGAAAAAAAACCACCAAAGAATTCGAGGAAAATAAATTAAGTAAATAAAATTAAATTGATTTTAATAAACTAATTACATTAAACAAGAGTTCAAGAAGAAGAAATAATTTGAGAAAAATCAATCAAAGAATCTGAGAAAACCAAAGAAAAAGAGATCAAAGAATTTGAGAAAAATAAATTGAATTCAATACATATAATTAAATTAATTAAATAAATTAGAGAATCCCAGAAAACCAAAGAATCCCAGAATACTAAATTAAAGAATAATAAAGAATTTGAGACTGAGAAATCAAAGAATTTGAGACTGAGAAATCAAAGAATTTGAGACTGAGCAATCAAAGAATTTGAGACTGAGCAATCAAAGAATTTGAGACTGAGCAATCAAAGAATTTGAGACTGAGCAATCAAAGAATTTGAGACTGAGAAATCAAAGAATTTGAGACTGAGAAATCAAAGAATTTGAGACTGAGAAATCAAAGAATTTGAGAATAATCAATTAAAGAATTCAAGAAAAATAATAAGCAACAGATCCTGCTTTTTTGGGGGCTTAAAAGGGGGAAGGGTGAAGACAACAAGGCAGGAAATATAAAAAAATTCCAAGATTTCCCTTCTCCCTGTCCACTTTGGCCCTCTCAGGGTGGGAATTCGGAGAGCAATCAGCAATATTTAGTTAATTAATCACTTCTCAGGGTGGCAGGTCACCCATCCCTTGCTTTGGGAAGAGCAAAATCCATGAAATTCCCGGATTAAGGTCCCTCTGTATCCATGAGGGTGAGGAAAAGCAGGAAAAGAGTTTGGGTGTGAGGGGAAAACTCCTCCCTTACCCTTTGCAACCTCAGCTTCTCCTTCTCTGCAGAACTCCTGTGGAATTTCTGAGGCACCTGGAAAGCACAAAATCAACTTTTAGGGAAGATCCAACATCCCCCTTCCCACAAAAAGAGCACGGATTGAACTGGAGCAACAACATCCCTGTAGATTATTCCCAGTGCCCTCAGAATTCCCAGGAATATCCTTGATTTCCATTTCAGTGTCTCTGTTCCCATTAAATCCCCCTCATTCCCAAACCCCCTCAGCTCCAAAAGCACCTTTCCCAAGGGAACAAAGCAAAGCAAACACAGGAGCTGCTCTGAGCCCCAGAGGAAATTAATAATTAATATTCCATAATTAATTGTGGAAATTAATAATTATGGAAAAATCACTTTAAAACTCGGGTTCAGGGCTTTTTTTTTTTTTGCATCCTACCCCTCACTTTTTTATATTTAGATATAATTTCACGGATAAAAGGATTATTATCTGTCTTTTAAGGCTGTTTCTTCTTATAATTGATCATTTGGGGGGGGAAAATTCGATCATTTTGGGGGAAAAATCAACCATTTTGGGGGAAAAAAACCCAAATCATTTTGGGGGAAAAAATCGATCATTTGGGGAAAAAAAAAATCAATCATTTTGGGGGAAAAATCAATCATTTGGGGGGAAAAAAAATCGATCATTTTGGGGAAAAATCGATCATTTTGGGAGGAAAAATCAGTCATTTAGGGGGAAAAAACTGATCATTTTTTGGGGGAAAAATCGATCATTTTGGGGGAAAAAATCAATCATTTGGGGGGAAAAATCAATCATTTGGGGGGAAAAATCAATCATTTGGGGAGAAAAATCGATCATTTGGGGGGGAAAATTGATCATTTGGGGGGGAAAATCGATCATTTGGGGGGAAAATTGATCATTTTGGGGAAAAATTGATCATTTTGGGGGGAAAAATTGATCATTTTGGGGGGAATAATTGATCATTTTGGGGGGAAAAATCAATCATTTTGGGGGAAAAAATCAATCATTTTGGGGGGAAAAATCGATCGTTTTGGGGGGAAAAATCAATCATTTTGGGGGGAAAAAAAATCGATCATTTGGGGGGAAAAAAAAATAATGATGTGGGGGGGAAAAAAAACAATGATTTGGGGGGAAAAAATCAATCATTTTGGGAGTTCCATGCCTCAACTCATCCTGGGAGGGTTTTCCCTCAGTTTGCCCTTAAATCCTGGGGGATGTTTCCACACTGTTGTCCTTGGAAGTTTCCCTGTGGATGTTCCCTCCCAAATCAGGGTGTTTTGGTTTTGAGGGTCTCTTGTTGAAGCAGAGCCATTAAACTGGAACTAAATGACAATAAACCACCTCACTGAGGGTTGATCCCATAGAATCCCGGGATTATTTGGGTTGGAATGACCTCAGAGGTGATCCAGCTCCACCCCCTCTGGAGCTGGATCCCGCCTTTCCCCTATCCCAGGTTGCTCCAAGCCTTGGATACTCCCAGGGATGGGGCAGCCACAGCTTCTCTGGGCAAACCTGTGCCAGCTGCAGGAATTCCAAGGTGGAAAAGCACTGATTTTACTGGGGGGATGATCCTCACAGGAATTCCAGCAGCTTCAGGGAGGCTGGAAAACAGAACCTGAAGGGCAAAACTCTTCCCAAAAGGCCCAGTCCCCTCAGGGGTGGGGTGTTGAAATAATTAAAGGAAACACAAAATGTAACTGTGGGAGGGTTAAAAGTTACAATCCCAGGGTATAAATCCACCAGGTGAGGCAAAATCCCTTAGGATTTTTCAAGGACGATTCCAAAGGGCAGCAATGGAGCTGTGAGTAAACCACAGAATCATGGAATCACCACCTTCCCTACGCTTCTCCAGAGTGTCCTGATCCCCCTCTGCCCTAAAAACCAACCGTGTGTGGCTTTAAAACCCCCAAATGAGGGCAGACCCACCTTCCTGAGGGGGGTGGAGGCAGCCAAAGGACTCGTGTTCCTCTTGGATTCTGCCACCAGCTGCACCTCGGGGGAGCTCCCGGAGCTCAGCGAGGAGTTGGTGAGTCCCGAGTCTCCCTCAGGAGAGGATTCCACGGTGTCGTTTCCCGACGTGGCGCTTCCACCCGGAGAAGCCCCCTGGGGGGTTTTCCCGGCCATGATGTCCTCCAGGAGCACCACGGGCACCTTCCCCTCAAAGAGCACGTCCTTCAGTTCGCTCTGGCTGCCCTTGCTGCCCGCCAGGTCCTTGCAGCCCAGCCCTGCCAGCCCTTCCTCTCCGTGGGGTGTGCCAGTCTCCCTGGAATCCGCCGGCTGGGAGCCCTGAGGGAGGCTCGGGCAGCTCAGTTGGGTCACCTCTTGCCCTGTCGTGCCGTGAGCTGGGGGTGAAGCAGCTCCAGAGTCCAAATCCCCCCGGGCTGTGCCATCACCGAGTCCATGGCCAGAGCCCTTGGGCAGCTCGGGGCCAAGCCCAGGGTCACTCGTGTCACCTCCAGGGTTTTTCTGGATAAAGTGGTCTAAGGGACCTTTGCCATTGACGAGTTTTGGGGGGAAATTCCCGCCGGAGCCCAGCTGGCAGTCGTTCTCCACGTTGTCCAGGGATGTGTTGGATGAATCCAGGGCGGGATCTTTGCTGGGATCAAAAGCACTCGGGGAGCTCTTGACTTTCTTGACCTCGGAATCCACCTCATATTTTTCCTTCGGCACCGGATTGAGGCGCTTGAAGGGCAGCCGAGCTGCAACAGCAACACCACCACCACAACAACAACAACAACAGGGGGTTATTTGGTCACGTCACACTGAGCAGGGGATCAAATATCAACTTATTTTATTAATTCTGAAGCAAAAGGGTTGAGATCAGCCACTTGGGGGAGGGTTTTAGAACAGCCAAGGTGATGTGTGAGGGGAAGGCTGTGGATGGGTCTACCTGGACTTCAGCAAGGCCTTTGACACCGTCTCCCACAGCACATTCCTGAAAAAGCTGCAGCCCATGGCTTGGCCAGGGGCACTCTGGGCTGGGTTAGGAACTGGCTGGAGGGCTGAGCCCAGAGAGTGGTGGGGATGGAGATGCATCCAGTTGGGATCTGGTCACTAGTGGTGTCCCCAGGGATCAGTGTTGGGCCCAGTTCTGTTTAATATCTTTATTGATGATTTGGATGAGGGGGTTGAGTCCACCATCAGCAAATTTGCAGATGACACTAAGCTGGGGGGAGTGTCCATCAGCTGGAAGGCAGGAGGGCTCTGCAGAGGGACCTGGACAGGCTGGATCCATGGGCTGATTCCAGGGGGATGAGGTTCAACCAGGCCAAGGGCCGGGTCCTGCACTTCGGCCACAACAACCCCCGGCAGCTCCAGGCTGGGCCAGAGGGGCTGGAGAGCAGCCAGGCAGGAAGGGAGCTGGGATTTGGGATGGACAGGAAGCTGAACAGGAGCCAGAGTGTGCCCAGGTGGCCAAGAAGGCCAATG